ACTGCATTGTATAAAAATCCACATTTTCTTTCTCCAATTAATCAGTTGATAGGCATTTGGGATGTTTCCAGTATTTGGCTATTACAAACTGTGCTGCTGTAAGCATGGGTGCACATATATTACTGTGGTATTATGCTTTTAATTCTTTCAGGAATATACCAAGAAGGGGAATAGCTGGGTCAAATGGAACCTCTGGTTTTATTTATTGAGGAATCTCCACACTGACTTCCATGGGGGTTGCATCAGTCTTCACTCGCACCAACAGTGCAGAAGGGTTCCTTTTCCCACACAGCCCTGTCAGCACTTGTTGCTGGTTGATGTCTTTATAGTAGCCCTTCTTCTGGGATGAGATGGAATCTCAGTGTTGTTTTAATTTGCATCTCTCAAATGACCAGTGATGTTGAACATTTTTTCATATATTTACTTGCTGTTTGTACTTCTTCATCAGAAGAATGTGTATGCATTTCAGATGCCCATTTTTGCATTGGGTCTTTAAACTTGAGAGGTCCTTTTTTGTGTCCTTTATATATTCTAGATATTAGTCCTTGTCTGAGGTATAACTGGCAAAAAATTTTTCCCACACTGTGGGTTGTCTCTTTACTCTGTTGGTAGTTTCTTTTGCTGTACAAAAGCTTTTTAAGATCCCAGTTGTTTATTCTTTGTTATAATTCCTGTGTGATCAGGGTTATGTTCATAAAGTCTTTGCCTTCACCAATGTCTTCCAGAGTTCTACCTATTCTATATTTTAGCAGATTTAGTGTTTCTATTGTAAAATTTTATTCAGTTTAGTGCATGGTGAAAGATACAGGCTCTGGTATTAATCTTTGGCATGTGAAAAGACAGTTTTCCCAGCACCATTTATTAAAGATCCTATGTTTCTCCTGTGAAGGGGTTTGGTCCCTTTGTCAAAGATAAGGTGGCTGAGTGTGTTTGGAGTTATTTCTGCATCTTCTAATCTGTTCCATTGGTCCTTGGGTCTGTTTTTTTTTTGTTGTTGTTGTTGTTTTTTCTTTTTTTGCCAGTACAATGCTGTTTTTTTTTTTTTTTTCACAGTTACTTTGTCACATAATTTCAAGTTTCAGTAATTTCAAGTTCAGGATTGTGATGTCTTTGTTGCTCAGAATTGCTTTTACTATTCTAGGTCTCTTCTAATTCCAAATGAATTTTAGGATTGTTTTCTCTAATTCTGTGAGATAGGCTATTGAAATTTTGATCGTAATTTCATTAAATCTCTATAACAATTTTGGGAGTATGACCATTTCCACTATATTGTTTCTTTCTTGGCCAGAACAAGGGATATCTATCCATTTTCTGATATCCTGTTTGATCTCGTTTTTGAGAATAATGTAGTTTTTAATGTAAAAATCTTTTACTTCCTTGATTGATTCCTAGGTATTTTATTTTTTGGATGCTGTTGTGAAAGGTGTTGTTTCTCTAATATCTCAGTGAGTTTGTTATTTGCATATAGCAATGCTATTTATTTTTGAGTGTTGAATTTGTATCCAGCTACACTACTGAATTTAGTTATTAAATCTAGATATTCTTGGTGGAGTTTTTGGGTCTTCTATGTGGGGTGTCATATCATTTGCAAATAATGATAATTTGATTTCTTCCTCTCCTATCCTTATTCCTTTTATTTCTCTCTATTTTCTAACTGCTCTGGCAAATGTTTCCAGAACTGTACTGAATAGGAGGGGTGATTGTGGACATCCTTGTCTTTTTCCTGATTTGAAAGTGAAAGCTCTCAGCTTTTGTCAGTTTAGTGTGATGTTGGCTGTAGTTTTGTCACAGATGGCTTTTATCAGATTGAGATAAAAATAATCAATTCAAATTTGCTGTAGGATTTTTAATCATCATTGGGATTTGAACTTTGTTGAATGTTTTCTCTGCATTTATTTATTTATTTATTTATTTATTTTGGTTTTTCTCCGGTACCGGGAACCGAACTCACGACCTTGCGCTTGCCAGGCAGGCGCTTTTGCTGCTGAGCTAAATCCCCAGCCCCTCTCTGCATCTATTTAGAAGGTCGTATGGTTTTTCTCTTTTGCTCTGTTGATACAGTGTATTACATTTATTGATTTGCATGTGTTGAACCATCCCTGCATCCATGGGATGAACCCTACTTTGGTCATGGTGTATAATCTTCTTGATGATTTGTTGCATTGTTTGCCAGTATCTTATTGAGAATTTTTGCATCTGTGTTTATTAGAGAGATTGGACTGTAGTTTTCTTTCTTGGTTGAGTCCTTCTCTGGTTTTGGTGTGAGGGTAATGCTTGTTTCTAGGAATGAATTTGGGGTATTGCTTCCCTTTCAATTTAATTAATGAGCTTGAGCAATATTGGTGTTAACTCTTCTATAAATTTCTTGTAGAATTCAGTAGTGAATCTGTCAGGGCCTAGCCTTTTCTTTGTTGGTAGCATTTTAATTGCATCTTCAATTTTATTGACTGTTATTAATTTATTTAGAATTTTTAGATCTTCTTGATTCAGTTTTGGTAATTCATAGATATCTCAGAATATGTCCATTTCTTCTGTTTTTTTTCTCCATCATATTAGAATACAGGTTCTCTAGGTAGATTTGATGATGATCCGGATTTCTGCAGAATCTGTTGAGATTTTACCCTTTTCATTCATTACATGTATTTGTATCTTTTCTTTCCTTTGTTTGATAAAGTTGGCTAAGGGTTTGTCAATTTTATTTCATCTTTCAATGAATCAGCTCTTTGACTCATTTATTCTTTGCATTGTTTTCTTAGTCTTAATTGCATTAATTTCTACTCTGATCTTTATAATTTTCTCCCTCATAAGAGCTTTTGGCTTGACTTCTTTTTCTTTTGTAGAAGCTTGAGGTTTAATATTAGGTTGTTTATTTGAGCTCACTGTTTTTCTGACATTGGAATTCACCGCTATAAATTTCCCTCAGAGGGCAGCTTTCATTGTGTCCCTTAATTTCTGGTATGTTTTATTGGCATTATGACTTAATTGTAGAAACTATCTAATTTCTTCTTAAAATGACTCTAAGAAGAGGGTGCTGTTTTTTAGGGGGATGTTAGGAGAGAAGAGTGTTCAAGATCAGTTTTAACTGTTGTGTAGGAAAATTTCATTAGTCTAGGTTACAAAATGTTCATTAATTTGATTTCCTTTTCTGTGCTGAGTAACTATCACTTTCTTTCATTTTTAATTGTTTATTTTGTTGCTGGAGATTGCATTGTAGCTGCACGTATTAATCATATGCTCTGCTTCTGAAGTATATCCGCATATCCCCAGTTCCATTTATGATGAAAGAAATAGGTGTTAAGGTTATAGGCATTGAGAAATATTTTGTATTTCCTTTGAACTAAAGAACCTCTGAGAGTTTCTTTTCCTACCAAACTGATTTAGAGCTATGAGACTGGAAATGCATAAAAGGTTGAAGCTGGAGCTCTCATCCAGCTGGGAGAATTCTCTGACACTTTACCATCTTCCCAGCTTCTTGCCTAGTACCAGTGGTCAAGTGTTGACTATCTTTTGCAAGTATTTATTAATGGAATTATTTTCCAAATCAAACAATCTAGTGGACAGTTGCGTATATTCTCTACCACCTACCTTCCCTATCCTCTGGCCACCTATAGATCTCTAAATTATTTTCATATAAAGGTGGTTTTTGTCATTTTTCAGTTATCAAAATTATCTGTGAGGGAAATATATAATGTATATATACAATTATGAAGTTTTTCTCCTGCAACATTCACTTCGTTACTCTTTGGACCTGTTTTGCTAGGTATGTACAGACCCCCCTTCATGTTACTAATAAATGGGAGAAAAATAGGAAAATCTTAAATAGCATGACTTCTGTTTATAAGTAGTCTTAACCTTTTGTGATCAACTTTATACTGTCTCTAACACTGCCTCCACAAAGTAGATTTTACATATTAACTTGAAGTTGAAAGTAGTTCTAGAAAACAGAATAAAAGGCATCATCTGTTAGTGGTTGTTCAGGTTATAAATTGTTGTTTCCTTCGCAGGAGAGAGTTAACTATTCCAGTTAAAACCAACTACATTAGTATGGTGTTTAAAGTTACATGGATGTTTGTTTTTATGATTTCAATTGGAATATCCAAATAAAAAACTTAAAAGAGTTACTTTTATAAATATATGCAAGTAGTAGTGACTACTGGAGGTTGGAAAAAAACTTCAGTTCTTCAAAATCATAGCGTCAGGCTTAGAATGCTCCATTAGTGTTGAGATGTAAATAAGTATTATAAAATTCATAAAGGGCCTTATTTTACTCTACTGAGTATTCAGGTGATAATTACTTTCCCTCCACATTGTCCAAAATAGGTCAATCCTCAAACGTGAATTGACCTTAAACATTTTTGGTATATGTGTCTTAAGAAACATCATTAATATGATCTGTTTATAAATTGAGGGCAAACAAAAATATCTTTAGGTTGCTACCTAAGACCAGTGTTATATTTCGTTTTACAAAGAACCTTGTATTATTTGTTTTGTTTTGTTTTTGTTTTTTCAGTGCTGGGAGTTGAATTTAGGACCTTGTGCCTGCCAGGCAGATGCTTGTGCCACTGAGCCATATTCCTCGCCCTGAAACTTGTATTATTTAAAGAAAAATATGTTTTGTTTTGACAGGAAAATAACTAGATGCCTATAGGCTTTTCGAGTTGGAATGCCTTTCTTGGTCGATTAACTAGTTTTCTGTGGCCAGGTGTTACGTCTTTCTCTGAGATTTGTATTGGTCTGAGGATAAAATTTATAAGAACTTAAATCCTGTTTCTTGCCCTCTTCCCATAGAGTTTCATTACTGTTTCTTTGAGTCTGGCTCTGTTACTTTTCTAAGATCCTAAGTACTTCTGGTCATGCATTCATCTTATTTTTTCCATGGGTACCTGGCTTATCCTAAGCTAAGGTGTACAAGTAATGTGAAATAGTACTTGTTTTTGTTTTTTTTTTACACTGTTCATTTTTCATGTCACTGTACTAATAAGTGTTCTCTCTTAACACAGATTGAAATCACAGAAGACAAATACATTCTTCTTAAAAGGAGAAGAAGAAATCTGTAAGTATATGTCTATTAGAAATTCAAGATGTGCAATTAGATCAACTTTTTGAGAAAATCAAGGAACCATACTGATTGGCATCTTGACTTTTTTTTATAGTGTAAAAACCCTACCAATATTTATGGTGATGTTGTAAAGGCAACATTTGGAAAAGTAAAACATTAAAATATTTTACCCTTTGCAACCTCGACAGTTAAGAGCAAGTAGTAATTAAAATCTAAATATTTTCTTTTTCTTTGACTCATACTGAGAAGTATGAGTCACAGATTGGAGTTCTGACTATTGAGGCATATTAACTTTGTGCTTTTTGGTGAGCTATTTAATTTTTCACTGCCTCAGTTTCCTCATCTGTAAAATAGTGTGGATAATAAGTACACAATCAGTGGTTCATTATTATTTGTGAAGTTAAATCTATAGCATTTTATACTTGCCCCAATAAATTTATCCTTGTTTTAGTTTAGTGGTTATTTCTCAAGGTAATGTAAGTCTATTTCTGACCTTCATCAGTTTAAGTATCATCATTGTCTTTCACCCAGGCATCTACTCTAGCCCATGGTATAGAGTAAAAAAAATATAACAGAGCATCTAAACTTAAAATTACAGCATTTGAGCTTTGGACTTTGGAAATTATCTAGTCTAGTGGTTCCCAAATGTTGATTTTCAGAAGAGTGCTAACTAGTGAAAAAAATTTTACTGATCCATGGTGAAGTAAGGAAAAGGACATCAGTTCATGAGTTTCTCAAAGCTAAACATTTGCACTTTAAAGAATGGCTGCTTCTTGTAGGGTATACCCATCTAATTTGAGTGAGTTAGATATGTTCTTTATTTTTTAAAATGATGGTGATCGTAAACATGGGGCTCTTTTCTTAAAGACCCATGCTTGGCAAAAAATTGACCGCTCTGTGTCATTTCCAGTCACCATCCTTTATTTATTTATGTATGTATGTATGTATGTATGTGTGTACTGGAAATCAAACTCAGGACCTTGTGCTTGCCAGGCAGGGGCTTGTGCCACTGAGCTGTATCCCCAGCGTGATCGTTTTTTTTTTTTAAAATAAAACTTGTAAACTAGTCTGATATCTGAAAATCTGAATTTTATGGATAAAGAAGCAGCCGTTAAGAGGCTGTTTCATTTGTTCCTGGTCTTACAGCTCAGTAGTTGCCAAATGAGAACCAAAGTCCTTGATCTGATGCTATCTCTCTAGTATTTCTGGTTTTCTGAGAATTACTGCTATTATAATAGGTTAGGAACTAGAAACAGAAGATATAATATCTCTTATAGTCTAATAATTCTTATTTTCAAGCATAAAGAAAGTCAGATTTAGTGTTGATATCTAACGTAGCTCTAAAGTCCATTGATTAGTCTACATTAGAAAATCTTAACTATATACCCAAATATTTTTATCAGTAGGCCAGAATTAGCTATGTCTGAATTCAGCTGCTTTAGGTTTCTTGCAACCCCATGATTGACACAAGAGATAAGATAGCCTCCTTTAGCATTTCCTCTTGGAAACTGACACTGACACTATTGAGAAGGTCAGCATATTCAAGCATCTATAGTTATTTCTCCAGAGAGAGTGCTGTTTTCTTTCTCATACATACACACCTACAGACACAGTTAATGGATTTATAGCAGTTGGCTTGCAGTAGTTAGTCTTAGCCAATCCAAGGCTAGCCAGTCTGGACTTGGAAAGGAAAAAGCTACATGCTAAGTTGAACAGTAGGCGTTGCCAAAGCATTGGTAGAATATCTGGGCAGTTGTGTTCAGGTCACTGTGGAGGGTCCATCAAGTACCATAACTTTGCTTCAGCTGTTCCTATGTTTTTCAAACAAAAATAACTAATTCCCTTATCAACCTTGGTCACTTGCCAGGTAAGCAAATGAACGAGACGAGAGGACAGCTTGGACTGTATTTTCTTTAACATGGAGATATTAACTTTAGGAGTTCTTCTCCATAATTGTTTTGTATTCGTGTTTGTGTGGCTTTCTTCTTCAGTTAAGAACTCTTACTTTCTAAAATGTTGGACATATCCATAATGAAATGTTAAAGATAAAAGTGGCATTTCTCCTGTTTTTGGAACATGTACCTTTCTTCTCTTTACTAGTCCTCATATGTGAACATTGACTGAATGACCATAGCATTTCAGTCTGCAGCAGATTTATCAGTCTTCAGAGTTCTTTGATTACTCTTACAAGATATATTTAGCACCAAACAGCAGAATGAGCTCCTTTTTTAAAAAACTATGAGACAATTTCACATTAGGGTGGTTAGGCAGCTCAGTTGTAGTAACTTATTTGGCCATTTTATAGGAAATGTTTTAAGATTCTAATGTTGCATAATATTTAGAGTCCAAGATGCTTGGAAGCAACAATGGCTAGGAACCAACCTATTAAACTGCCTCCATTAACAAATGGGCAGGGCAGGTCTTATGGCAAAAAAAGGGACAAATGACAAAATTCTCCCTGTAACACAAAGATAGTCCTGTAGGAAATACTGCTAGTATCAGACTGTTTTGAAACCTGTACTTTTGGTTGACAGCCCTCAGTTGTATTACCTTACTATAATAAATATATAAGATTACACAAGATAGATGTATAACCAGTAGGTATATTCCATATGTTCCTAACTAGAATAAAACACTTTATAAGTTAACTTTAAAGTTAAGTTCTATTACCCAATTATTTTTTGTTAACTTATGTTAGAATTAAGAGTGTGTTCTAATAGAGAAAAACACCCAGCAAATAGAAGACTACAGATGAAATGAAATGAAGATCTCTACACCATGACATGATGCAGTTTGAGTTCCCAGGAAGCTTTTGTAGAGGGACCTGTAGCAGTTAATCTTTAACAGCCATTGAATGCTCAGTGTATTTGAAGCGTGTAGGCTGCAACGTTGGCTCCTAGGTCCCCTTATTTCAACATGTATGGATAGGATTCTAATTATGTCAAACTGTGACCTAGAAAAAACCTTATCTGATGCATGCTGTGAGTTTTCTTAAGATTTTATGGGAGGGAACTCATGCTACAGCATGAAAGAGCACCTTCACCATGGCTGCTAAGATGCTTTCTTTTCTGGGAAAAGCTGGGAAGAGACTAGCAGGATGGCGACTACAGGAGTTAAGTTACCTCCAGGTGATGAAATATAGAGGTTTGGTTAATCTTGTGGAAGATACACCTTAAGATCAATCAGAGTTGTGTGAGCTCCTTTGAGTTAAAAATAACAAGGCATAAGGGTAATATAGTGTAGGACATCTACTCGCCTATGTTTTTGTTTTGCTGTATTTAAGTTTTAAAATTATTTGTTATAATTATGTGTACCTGAGTTTAAAGCTTGCTTGTAAAAGTTATTTCATATTGATGAGACTGGTTATTATTTGTGGTATAAAAATTTGAATTAGGTGAAAGTGATGAGTGATAATCTGACATGGATTACATGAGATGATTCAGTCTTGCAGACTATGATAGCAAGAGATCCTGCTAGCTACTCTTAATGCTCCTATTTTCTTAAAATATTAGCCTATTGGAAGTTATAGTATTAGATTCTGAAGTTAATTATATTGTACTACAATCCTCAAAGTTTGATTTCATTTTTCACATATAACCATTCATCGTATTTGAACTTTCTCTGATATGTTTTAAAATCTTTGAAAGTTTTTAATAGTGTGTGAAGGAAAATAAAATTTTTTATAAAAGCACTCTATTTCTTCATGAAAGTCTTGGTGATGCAATGTCTATTTAGAAATATGATCTTTTAAAGTATAGCAGGTAGGTTTATCTGTTAATCTTTTGGAAGATGTAATGTTTAGTGGATACAGCTAATCCTTTTTGGAAGACAAATTGTATCTTATTTGGTTTTTAAATTACTCTTAAATAATATGACTTGAAAAACTGATTTCTTAGGGTAGTTAACTCTTGGTTTTTAAATTAATATTTGTAGTATTTTCATAAGTGCTTAGATAGATGAAATTAATTTGCTGTTACTGTGTATTTCAACTTGGCAGATGCATTGCTCCTTGATTGGTGTAGTTCACTTTCTAAAAGTTGAAGAAAATGTCTTGGTGTTAATCAACTTGAATTTATTAGTTTTTCTGTGTCATTCTTAAATTGGCATTGTGTCACATGCTTCTGGGGATGATGAGTTCTTCTTTTAAATTTAGACTTTAATCAATATGTAGTGTTTGTTTACCTTATTTACTAGACCTTCATGTATCACTAATGCTTTTTCGTGTTTAACCTGTCTCAGAGTGTTTGAAGTAACTGGAATGAAATATTTATCGTGAAGTTGACTTCAGAGTAAAATGATAGAACAAAGTTGTATCTTGATTCTTTACTAAAATTTCTAGAATTTACTGCACATCAAAATTTTTTGTACCTATAAAATGCCTTAGGATGTAGGACAGATCATTGCTCAAAATTGTTGCCACAATTTCTTAATACATAAAATTTGTCACTCTTGTCTATTTAGATTTATTCCATTATGATCAGCAGCACAAGCAAGGTAGCTCAAAGCATGGACTTTAAAATCAGATAGACAGGAGTCCAAATGTTTCCAACAGTTTTATAACATTGGCAAATTATGTAATCTTTGAGTCTGTTGTATCTGTAAAATGAGAGTATTATTTCAAAGAGGTTTTCTAAAAGATTAAATGAGACAATATATCTAAAGGAAAGCAATAATGCCCCTACTAAATATTTCAGTAGTGATGTGAAGATGATTTCCATGTAACTTGCTAAACTTCAATGGTGGCAGTCAACTATCCCATGAGTGAAGTGGATGCTTTGCCCCTCCCTGTCATACAAATACCTGTATATAATCTGATCTCAAGGAACTCGGCATTCCTATCTTACTAATGGTGGGATAGCAGTATCACTTTTCATACATGGAAGGACAGCATATCTTTGCAAAAGGTATCAGTATAAAAGCATATAGTGCAAATTTTGTAACCTTCTTGCTCTCATAACACGTTGGTCTTTACCCTCTGCAACAGGCAGTTTTTCCAGTTTTATATTTCCTATAAGGTTAACTGCATTGAGGTTATCATACTTACATATACTTTTTAGTTGAGTTAACACATAGAGGTACTGTTTTGGTCACTGAGGTTTCAGCAGCAGACAACAAACTCTGCCTCATGGAGATTATATTCTGGTAGGAGCATAGACAATAAACCTGTCAAAACCTATGATATTGTTAGTGAAAATGCTAAGGAGAAAAATAAAGCAAGAAAGGAAGTGATATAGGTGCAGCTTTAAGGGAGGGTGGCTGAAGAAGGTCTTGCTGAGATGTTTAGTAAAGACAAAAAAGAAGGTGAGAGAGATATCTTGGAAGTACATTTCAAGTGAGAGAATAGCAAGGAGAAAAGCCCCAAGGCAGGATTATGCTTAATATGTTCCAAGCATACAAAGTGCAAGTGAGACTGAAACAAAATGAGCCAGGAGAAAGTACAATGGAGGTCAGAAACTTAAGGATAGGGAAAAGTTCATGTAGCCTTGTAGTTCATAGTAAATATTTCCAGTGAATATTATGAGGTTCTCTGAAGTGTTTTGAGCAGAATGAAATAATCTAACGTACATTTTAAGGAGAGTATTCAGGCTGCTGAGATTAGGGTTTATTGTGGGGGTAGAAATAAGAAATAGGGAGATTAAATCAGTTATTGCATTTATCCGTGTGAGAGATAATAGTGGCTTGAACCGGGATGTTAACAATGAAAGTGGTGAGAGATAGTGGAATTAGACATGTGTTTTATAAACAGCCATTAGGTTTTATTGATGAATTGCATTTGAAGTATGTGAGAAAAGAAGGAGTCAAATAGTGAATCCAAGATTTATGATTAAAACAAGTGGAATGCAGAGACAGATAAGACTATGGCTTAGATTTTTTTCTTTTTTTTTTTTTTGGTAGGGGAAATGAACTTTGGACCTTGCGCTTGCCAGGCAGGCGCTTGTGCCACTGAGCTATATCCCCACCCAATGGCTCAGTTTTGAACAGGCTAAGTTTGAGGTGTTTGACTGATATCTCTATGCATCCGTTGAGGAAACAGCTGGATGTACAAATCTGGTATTTAACGAAAGTCTCCATTCTTAAGGGAAAAATTTGGGAATTATCATATATATGATACTTAAAAGTGTGACACTAAATGAGATCACCTTGGGAGGGAGCAGAGATAAAGAAGAGAAGATTCAAGGACTGAGCATTATTAGCACTTACAGGTCACAGAGTTAAGGGAGAAGCAGCTAAGAAGACTGGAAAGGGATAGCTGGAAAAATTAGAAGAAAACCTAAAGAATGTGGTCCATTGGAAGCCAAGAAAAGAACTTTCAAGCGGAAGAGAGGGGTCAGCTGTCTAGAGGCTGCTAGTGGGTAGAGAAAGGTAAGGAACAGCTGAGCTTTATCCATCTTTTGGCTCTATCCACATAGAAGTCATCGGTGGCATTGATCAGAGCAATTTTGTGGAGTGGCAGGGGCAAAAAATTGCATGTAATGAGTTCTAAAAATAAAAGGAGAGAACTAGGAGACAGATTGTACAGCCAAACTCTTTCAAGGAGTGCTAAAGAGAAGGAGAAGAACTGGGCCATAGCTGAAAGTTAGGTGAAAGAAAGATAAAGTTTTTTGAGATCAGATAACGTTTATCATCACGGACTGTTCTGACCCTGATGATAATGATTCTGTAGTGCAGGAAAAATTCCTGGGCAGGTGAGGGGGTAAATAAGTAGAGCAGTACCAGCATCTCCATGGATAGGCAAAGGTGTAGTGCACAAGTCAAGGAATTTGCCTCAGCTGGGAGCATCCATTGTGTATCCACAGTCATAAACATGCATATGGTGACAGATGCAAATATGTAGATATAGTCCATGGGAGTCTGTGAGGATTCTCTTTGGATTAGTTTCATTTCTCCCTACTATAGTAAGCCTGATTAGCAGCTGAGAATAAGGATGAAGGTAGAGTGTTTGGTGCTCTGAGGAGAGAGAATAAGGTAGAAAGACTGAAAGAATAGGCCAGTGAGTAGATTAGTGCAGTGTGGTTTCTATGCAATAAGGACAGCCCACTTGAGCGGTAGCCATCCTGAACCTACAGTGAGGCACTGAACACAGTAATGTATTTGTCCAAATCTAGCTACATAGGTACAGGTGTAGATTAGGTAGACAACTGTATTGAACAGGTTGTAGCTTAGCTGAGTAATTACAATAGAGTGAGAGTGGCAAGGTAGTTGAGAGTATGTGCCAGGGATTGATTATGATTGCCTGTGGAATTTAAATAGCACAGAGGACTCTCCCAGTGATACTGTGGAGTAGGTAACGCAAGCAGTATGAAGCTGCTGACATGTGGTTTTTAAGTGGCAGGTCATATCACTTGTTCAGAGTCACACTAGACAGCAGACACTGAGGTTAGAATTCCCTAAAACTGTGTATTCCAGCTTGTATATCTTTCTGTGGGGAAAAGTGTCATAGTTCTCATTGGATTCTCAGTCTCCATCTTCTAGAGGTTGAATCTACTCACCTAGTCTGATTACAGACTCAAGTGATTTGTTTGTGGTCACAGAGTCAGTTGGTGACAGAGATGAGGACTGAAATCGATTCTAGTTTCTTGTTCATGTCTCCACATGCAGCTAAAAGACATAAAGGACAGGCATGATTAAGGTACCATTTTGTAATAATAATCAATATGAAAAGACACAAGTAGCTTGGGGTCAGTGGAACTGGGTCTGTTAGTGTGTTTGCATAAGAGCTGCAGGAAGATATGCATCAGTTTATCTCTTCAAAGTGAACTGATATTTTAATTGACTTATGCTGCCCCCCCACCAAAATATCTTTCTCACCTAAATGGAGAATCCCTGAGAAATATTATTATCCACATTCATTTCACCGTAGTTCATTTCACTGGCAGTGCATTTCTGACCTGTAGTACCACCCAGTTTTCTGTATAATCAAATCAAAATAACTTTGCTTGATTTGCCAGTTCCTGTACTACCATAACCCATTCAGCCAACATATACTGTAGTTGTCTTTAGGCTAGTGTCCTTGTTATTGATATTCCCGACTTTCCCAAACTTCTTTCATTCCCTCCCTTTCTTCATGTGGTTTCACAGCCTGGACTGCCCTTCATTATTCTTCTATTTCCAGATGTCTAACATTATGTCCGAATATAATTTCTACGCAGTCTCTTCTAGTTACTCCTGAGCTTTTTTTCATTTACTCTGAAATCCTTTTGCATCTGTCATTTGTGCCGCAAACCATAGCACTCAGTGATGTTTTATCTCAGTGCTTGTCAGCAGAAATGCTTTAGTGGCCATGTTGGGAGCAGGATTTCAGAAAGTCCAGAGTGGGGCACTGGACATAGCTAATCCCTGCTCCTCCCAGAGCAACTCCACTTCCGTGTTATATGTGAGCAGTCTACATAACTTTGTATTTAAAGAAATGGTTCAGCTACTTTCCTTTCCTATCCACTCTTACTCCACTAGTGTTTCCTACTCCACTAGTGTTTGAGAAACACTAGCTCTGTCTTTGAGAAGTGTCAACTCATAATAGGTGAGGACCAGGACTTAATACTACTTCAGATTTTTACTGTTCCTCCTAGACAACTGGTGCAATTTTGAGCACAACATGGACACTTAGGAAATGATTTTACATTCTTATTGCTCCCATTTAGGAAATAGCAGATAGTGATTTACTTCAGAGGTTTACCTTAATAAAGAACTAAGAGTAATATTCTAGGTTGTTCTTTGAGAAATAAACCTAATTTGATAGCCCCTCTCTTTTGGACACAAAACTGAATAACCTTACTTAATGCTGACTGGTTTTTACACACATATTTAAGAGAAAACTCATTATTGGCATATTCTGCTCTCCCAGAATTTGATCAAACTTAAATCTCATTCATGCATTTGTGTAAGCATTGAAATAGTATTAGCCCCAACCCCTGACTTACAGAATGATGTGCAGAGTATCAGCACACCTAAAACCCCAGAAAAAATTAACTTCAGAAGTTGGTGCACTTAAAAGCATTTATGTCAGTAATTATTATAAATGGAAAAATGTCAACCTTTCATACCAGTTATTTCAGCTTTCTGTGTCAAATCAATTATATAAACTAATAAAGACCTGAATATTTAAATCAATTGTGCTATCAACCTAATGCTATTGTTTCATTTTGTTTCTTTTTTTTCCTGCTCTCTGCCTGGTTTGTTTTCTTCACCTACAGGTGTACTTTATTACTGGCTTCCAAAGATTACTAACTTTTATCTGTATCACTAAAATTGAACTGCCTTGGCTCTACTGCTACTCTGACTGCTGCTTCCATTATTGCCTTCTTCAGCAAAATAAGGCTTTCAGAAGCCAAAAAATAACAAGACATAAACATCAGTTTAGAAGCCTTTCCACTATGAAACTTAAACTAAATGTGCTCACCATTATTTTGCTGCCTGTCCACTTGTTAATAACAATATACAGTGCCCTTATATTTATTCCATGGTATTTTCTTACCAATGCTAAGAAGAAAAACGCTATGGCAAAGAGAATAAAAGCTAAGCCTACTTCAGACAAACCTGGAAGTCCATATCGCTCTGTCACACACTTCGACTCATTAGCTGTCATAGACATCCCTGGAGCAGACACTCTGGATAAATTATTTGACCATGCTGTATCCAAGTTTGGAAAGAAGGACAGCCTTGGGACCAGGGAAATCCTAAGCGAAGAAAATGAAATGCAGCCAAATGGAAAGGTTTTTAAGAAGGTAAAGGACTTTCATGCTTTTTATTTTATTTTTAAAAAGGAGCACATATCTTGCTTTATCATAAATCAAGTGCATTTTAAACATACTAGTGTTCTATTATAATACTGTGTAACTATTTCTCAGAAAAGTGCTTATAGCCTCTGTATGTGATGTGAGGGCATTTTCAGAGTTCTGCATTTTGAATAATATTTTAATTGTTTATTTGAATACATATACTAATATTAGAGATTATCTCACTTTAACAGTTAATTCTTGGGAATTATAAATGGATGAACTATCTTGAAGTAAACCGAAGAGTGAATAATTTTGGCAGTGGGCTCACTGCACTGGGACTGAAACCAAAGAACACCATTGCTATTTTCTGTGAGACCAGGGCCGAATGGATGATTGCAGCACAGACCTGCTTTAAATACAACTTTCCTCGTAAGTGCTTTGTTTTTGGAGGTACAGGGAAGGCCTGTCTTAATATGAAACTTCTAAAGTGCTCCTGTTTTTAAAGTAGATGTTCCAGGCTGGAGGTGTAACTTAGTGAAAAAGCATTTGCCTAGAATGTGTATGGCCCTGGGTTCCATTCCCAGCACCATAAAAACAAAACAAAATTACTTTGAAACAAAGTACATGGTTTTTTTTTTTGCCATTTTATGGATTAATTATGTCCAGAAACAGTATGTAATATTGTGACTGAAAGACAGCCAGTAATTCCTGTTAAGATAATAACGTCTAAGGGCTAGTAAGGGAACTGGCTGCTTCATGGATACAATTTAGAATTTTACTTTTCAATTGGAAATTAATTGTACCTGAAAGGTTTAGAAGTTGGAGGTATAATTTTGGAGGTGATACAAAAAATGATTAAAGCAACAAAAAGCTTTGGGTAAGATAATTCTAGTTCATTGCTTCACTTTGAGGCCTGTTTGATTTATTCCATTTTCCATGTGACGTGACAACTTGAAGTGGCATTGGAAATGCTAGATATAAAGTAAAATCGGGTATTTTTCTGATTTGTAAGCATTTGTTGCTATTGTGCGAGAAATAATTTTTAAAAATTGAGTCCAGAACAATGCCTTGTCATAAATATTGGTTGTTGACTGAAATAGAAGTTAGTGTAGGAATTTAATTAATTTCATGATTCTGAAAAATATGGCCACTGTTCATGTGAGAAAAATGACCACAGTCGTGTTTGTTACCGTTACCTGACGCGGAGTTTGCATGCAAAACCAAAATTTTTCCAAATGCTTATTTGCAAACCAAATTATTTGAAGACAAAAAAGCACTTGTGAACTGAGATACCACTGTAGATACTATCAGAATCATCATTTCCTACATACTCATCACCCAACTTCCCCAATCAACAATGGAAAATGGCTGTTTTTAGCCATATTACTGTTTCTGGTTAAGAGCTAGAAGCTAAATTGTTACGTCTGTTCTAAGTTTTAACAGATGTCCTTTGATTCGAATTGAGCTTTGTTTCAGCTTATATTATGTTTGTCTGGTGTCTCCTAAGGAGTAGTTCTCCTTCGCTCCTCTAGATAAGGTGTACGAAGTCACAAATAGGACTTGAAATTGGACCCACTGAACAAAACTTCTTGGAAGGAGTAAAAACATTATTTGTGGCTGACCTTCTTAGACCTTGAAATTTTTAAGAATGTATCCATTCTTTGGAGCCATGGCCCATAAGGGAGTACTTGCTGGGCTGGTCATGACCTGAATTAAGAGTTCAGCCAGGACCTGTTGGCCTTGAGCATCTCATTTGACTCATTTTGACCAGTTGTGGCACTGCCATTACTTCTGGATTTCATCAGGTTTTAAAAGAAGTACTTGTATGAATTTATAAGAATAACTTTCAGGTACCAGGGATACCATGAAATGCAATTAAATACAACTAAATCATAAAATAACTTTGTTTCTGTTAGTGTACCTATCATTAAGGACTGACTTCAATATATCTTTCTAATAATCACTTAACATTTAATGTTTGTGTTTGTTTTGCATTATATAGTTGTGACTTTGTATGCTACACTTGGCAAAGAAGCAGTAGTTCATGGACTAAATGAGTGTGAAGCTTCCTATCTGATTACTAGTGTTGAACTTCTGGAAAGCAAACTTAAGGTTAATATGAAATTTTCTTTTTTTAACTCATTTATTTTCAAATATATAAAATATAAAATTGTATATATTGGGGGGTTCATGTGTATTTTGATATACATAATTTTATATGCATAAATTGTGTAATGTTTAAATCAGGTTCAACATATCTCCTCAAACATTTATTCTTTCTTTATGGTGAAAACTTTCAATATACTTTCTTTAAGCTTTTTGAAATGTGGAATACATAATTATTATCTATAGTTGCTCTACTATGCAACAGCATACCAGAACTTCTTGCTCTTATCTAACTGTAACTTAGACCCATTGGTGGGCTCATGTAGTATTGTCTTTCTGTGCATGGCTTATTTCACTTAAAAAAATGATCTCTGTTCAATCTATATTGTTGCAAATGACAAGATTTAATTCTTTTTTCTGTGTTCTATTCATATTGTTACAAATGACAGGATTTAATTCTTTTATGTCCAAATAGCATTCCAATATGTACCACACTGTCTTTATCCATTTATCTATTGATGGACATTACAGTTGTTTACATTTCATGGCCATTGTACGTAGTGCCACAGTGAATATGACAGTGCACATGTCTCTTTAACATAGTGATTGCATTTCTTTTGAATGTATGCCCAGTGATGGGATTGCTGGATTATGTGTTTGTAAAATAAGAAACAAAAAATAAATAAAATATACTGATAAGAAAAACTATACGTGGACTCCTTTTCTTCTCATATTTTGAAAATTTTGATACCCCTTTTTGTATCCTTCTGTATTGTCTTTAGTTATTATAATTTTTTTTTGAGACAGGGTCTCACTATGTAGTTCAGGCTGGCCTTGAACTCACTGTGTGGCCCAGGCTGGCCATGAGTTTGTGGCAGTCCTTCATCTCAGCCTCCCATATTCTGGGATTACAGGCATGTGCCACCATTCCCAGCTTAGTTATTGTTATTTTTAATTAAGTTGGTTTTTAGTCTTTATTCTAAAGATATGAATGGTTTGTGCACCATCTTCACAATTTTGTCTGTACAGTTAAAATTTTCTTTTTAATTCATCACATTGTTCACTGATAGTATCAGAAAGTATCTAAAAGTGAACTTCTATGGCAGGCTCAAATTTAAAAACTGGGTTTTCTTTCTGCTCAACAGACTGCACTGTTAGATATCAGTTGTGTTAAGCACATCATTTATGTGGATAATAAGACTATCAATAAAGCAGAATACCCTGAAGGATTTGAGATTCACAGCATGCAATCAGTAGAAGAGTTGGGATCCAAGCCAGAATACTGTAAGTAAAGCAATTAAGATGAATTCAAGATTTGTGATTTTATTAGTTTAGAAAGTACTATGAGTGAAAATGCTAAAGTTCTTTGACTTTAAAAGTTATTAAATGTTTAAGAACTATCAATATCCTGCATGATTAATATTTTCTCTTTTTCTCCCCAAGAAGGTAACACCATTGCTGAAAACTTGCTACATAGTTGTCTTGTGATAAACAGTTCAGACTTTGTGTCAGTTTCTGCCAAACTTTTCTGTTTAAAATCAAAACTTACAGTAACCTTCCAATATGGATTCATAAAAGGAGAAGATCTCAGGCCCTCCATTCAGTTAATGATTTTTTCTAATTGTTTATACTAGTGATCTTAATGATCTCTCAGGATGAAAAGCTGTTCACCAAGATTAATGCTGAGATTTATTCTACTAGTGAGGTGGCAGCTGATATTTCATTTGAAATAAATAAAATGCACCTTGTAGCAAAGTTTCAGTTGGTCACTAGATAAGAGAGTTGAAGAAATTGATACTCCATTTGAATAATTTTGTAATTGTGTTAAATGTGAAGGTCACAATGCCATACCATACGAGATGAGGAAAGGATTCATTTTGGTAGGAGAATATGTTGGTTGAACCTCTACTTGGCCTCAAATATTTTACCATTAGAGAATGAACATGTGTTTACAATAACTTATTTTTTTTATCTTTTTGAGACAGGGTCTCACTATGCAGTTCAGGCTGGCCTTGAGCTCACTTTGTAGCCCAGGCTGGTCTCAAACTTGCAGTGCTCCTCCTGCCTCAGCCTCCTGAGTGCTGGGATTACAGGCATGTGCCACCACGCCCAGCTTACAGTAACTGCTATGTGTTAGAAATTGCATACAGTCTGTTTGAGATTTTACTCTACCCACATGTCAAAAAGTGACCCTGCCAAATTTCTTGGATACACGAGACTTTCAGGTTAGGGATGAAGGACTGTCTTTTACTCGTGTAGCAGCAATCAGAGTAACATCAATATTTGCATTGTAGGAGAGCAACATGGAGCTTAGGGAACTGAGTGTTTTATTATCTCTATGTATTACAAAATAGGTATGCTTGCTTTTTGCTCTAGAGAGACTAGCTCTGTATAACAACCCTTAAAAAGATAGTCCAGAACAAAGTCAGTCCCTCTGCTTGCAAGATATATACAAATGCAACAGATTCATGGAGAATTGTCTCTCAGCTCCAGGTTAACCCTGCATAATTGGAATATACCTGACTGGAAAGTCCTGATTGGTAGGAGTCTATTGTCAGTTCTACCGATTCGTTAAGAGGTGTTGACCCAAACTTAAGGGAATATCAGTCCTCTAACTTTTTTTGAGTAACAACATGACAGGCCACATATCTTTCCTAGTTCTACTCATGCCTAGGATATAGAGAATACACATATATTTGTGGCACTTTATTTTTGTAGACAGTTAAATTTTTGGTGACACTTTTTGCATGTTTATTATATGACCAGATGGTTAGTGTCATATTATGTGGTTCAAGTGAAAAGAACTTGGTTGTTTCAGCGTTGTAGCTTGCTTTAAAGTATTTATTTTAATTGTATATACAAATGTAAATCAATCTTACAAACTATTTTAATAATTGTGTTAAACTCTTATTTAACTTTGATAATATATCTGTGTGTTCTTGGACATTTTGGTGCATTCTGGGAAAGAAAGGAGGTTGCTGGGTTAGCATGAATGCTCCAGTTGCTGTTTAAAACTTAGCACCTTAGAATTTTAAAGTTGAAATCACCTTAAAGATCAATTCCACTAACTGTCAATCAAGGGTATGATTGAGAGTCAATTTTGTCTAATCCCAGACATATCAACTCCAAATTTTCAGATATAGCATTCCAAAATAGTAGCAAGTATAAGCTCTGCGGTGATTCTAATGGCCACTAGTGATTAAGAACCACAGTCTGATTAAACTAACTCATTTAGAAATGAGAAAAATGAGGTCTAAAGAAACTCACACAATACTCTACCCTTTTGATTCTGTAAAGTCCTAGATGTTTTTCTGTCACACTGCTCTATGTACAGCACTGTGAAGAGGCATAGTCAGAAGGGATTAGGCAAAACATTCAGCAAATGGGTGAAACTGAGTTTGGAATTATCACTGTAGTTAACCAGAACTTGATAACTGTTTTTGTTTTGACTATCAATATACAGTATTTTGTTTAGATAGTTTATCATTAAGCAAAATTGAAATATACTATTGTGTAACAATTTAACTTTTGAATTGAAGAAAATACGCTTTTTCTATCTTTTAGCAAGCATTCCACCAAGTACACCAACTCCTTCAGACATGGCCATTGTCATGTACACCAGTGGTTCTACTGGCCGCCCTAAGGGAGTGATGATGTATCACAGCAATCTGATAGCGGGAATGACAGGCCAGTGTGAGCGAATCCCTGGACTAGGGTAAGAAAGATTCCTCAACGTGTTCTTACAAACATTGAGCGCATGTTCAGTATTCACTAAACTCAATCTATATTAAATAATAAAGTTATTGATGTTTCTCCTGTAAAATGCCTTTTCAAAAATGATTAAAATGTTTCTCTTATTTTGTTTTAGACCTAAGGACACATATATTGGCTACTTACCTTTGGCTCATGTGTTAGAATTGACGGCTGAGATATCTTGCTTTACCTATGGCTGTAGGATTGGATATTCTTCTCCACTTACACTGTCTGACCAGGTGACAAGCTTCAGTACATTGACATGATTATATTAAGTTACATTGCTTGGCATAGTACTAAAACATGAGATACTGTAATTCAGGTAAAATGTTCACTAGGACTTCAAAAATAGCTTTCATGGACAATATGAAGCTATAGTAAATAACCTTGTGGATTTGTTAGCATTGCTTCAGCTACATACTTTAAGATTTTTCTGAAATGAATTATTTTCATCTTGTCTTTCTGTATTAGACTTTTACTCTGGGAGCTAAAATAAGTAATGTAAATATACTGATCCTTTTTGACATATTATCCAAGAGCATTAGTGGATTCTTTTGGAGGAGATATAGGATTTTGGCCTGGGTTTCCTCTGAATTTTCTCTAAACCTGTGTTGTCTAATACAGTATTTACTAGGCACGTCTTTATTTTTTTATTTTTTTATTTTTGGTTTTTCTCCGGTACCGGGAACCGAACTCACGACCTTGCGCTTGCCAGGCAGGCGCTTTGCCGCTGAGCTAAATCCCCAGCCCCTAGGCACGTCTTTAAATAGAAATTAATTTAAAAGAATTTTTTTGGTACTGGGAGTCAAACTCATGACCTTGCATTTGCCAGGCAGGTGCTGTGCTGCTGAGCTGTATCCCCGGCCACTAAATTTTGAAAATTTGCCTTCTCATTATCTCTAGCCACATTTTAAGTTCTCAGTAGCTACATGTGACCAGTGGCTGTCATATTGAACACACAGATACTGAATGTTTCCATCTGTGCAAAAAGTTCTTATTGGACAGCATTGCAGCATCTCTAAGGGTAGCCCTTTCCTTCCTATGCTGAGTTCAGGGTCCTCCCTTCTCTCTGTTGTTCATGGCAGAAAACCCAACTATGGTAAGGCTCACTCATTTATTTTTTGTCTTTTTTTGGGACAGGGTCTCGCTGTGTAGTTCAGGCTAGCCTTGAACTGACTTTGTAGCACAGACTGGCCTCAAACTTATAGCAGTCGTCCTACCTTAGCCTCCCAAGTACTGAGATTATAGGCATGCATCACTCATGTATTTTAAGCACATTTGAAATTACACATTGAATACTTACTGGCCATAGTCTGTTTCTCCTTTGGAATATTTGCTATAGAAGAACCTCAGTCAGGTACATGTGGAAGAAAGCTACTAAGGTAGCTGTGAGGTTCAGGGTACTGAATGATGCCATGAGTGTAGGTAGGAATGACTTTACTGTGTGTGGTTCTGCCACTCTCACTTCCACAGGGTCAGCAGTTGTTTTTTAGATACCCAGGCAACTGCTTTTCATTTGGAAGTCTGAGGGAGCATGCAGTTGTTAAGAAGACACATCTTTGGTGCTTATGGTTAGAAATTGTAGTACCTTCTATTTAGGGAGAGGTTACGTAGGTTATATAACAGTAAGACAAAAAGCAGAATGTTTAGATTTGATTCCAACCACCTTCGTGCTTGTTTTTTTTGCTTTTGATGTATAATGTAAAGTGTAAAAACCTTAAGTGTACTGCTTGGTTAAATCTAATATGCACTTGTAGACTTCCAATAATTGCCATCTAGATAAAGGAAAAAATGTTTTTATCACCAGTAACCTCAGTGTGGAGAATGAGGGAAGCTTGGAATTTTTGCTGATCTGACTTAATTGTTGATCTCGAACTTTCAAATCCTATTAAAGATAATTGGTACACATTTAAAATTTTATTTATTTATTTATTTTAAATTTTAAAGAAAAAAACCAAAAGACAAAATTCCAAAACAGTGTGATAGGTGGGGCTAACCAGTTCTTAAATGAACTTTGCTAAAAGACTCTCAATCTACTAAGAATCTAAAATTCAGGAATTATCCACACTTGGGAAATTAGAAAAACACAGGAACCAGAGGCACCACATTTGAAGGTAGCAGATGGTGATAATGTTTTCATAGGGTTTCTGTGACCATAATAAGACAAAAGAACTGATAATACAGGTTGAGCATCCGTAATCCAAAAACTTGGAATCGAAAATACTCCAAAGTTCAAAACTTGTTAAAAATTAACAAGATGCCACAAGTGAAAAATTCCACACCTGACTTTATGAGATGACTTGTAGTCAGAACATAGGAGCACTAAAAATACTGTGTAAAATTACTTTCAGACAATGTACTATAAGATGTGATGAGACATAAATGAATTTTATGTTTATACTTGAGTTCTGTGCAGAGATAGCTCACTGTGTATATACAGATATTCCAAAGCCTTAAAAAAACCCAAAATGTGAAACACTTTTGGTCCCAAATATTTTGATTAAGGGACACTCAGCCTATATTATTAAGAAAATAAGGGAAACAAGGTCTCTTTGTGGCTCATGCTACTTTGAAACTGCTCTCTATAGTAAACACTGGTCAGTAATATATAGAGAACAGCTCCTACTTGAAGGACTTCAGAGACCAGTTTCTCTCAATGGAGCATCCATCCATCAGAGAACCTCTGCGCATGGTGTGAATGTATGTGCATAAGATTCCTCTAAAAACTGTGTACACATTTGCACAGAAATAAAAACACAAGGGATTATTTTATCTCTTTTATCTGTATTGAAGAAAAGTAGGAGATAAGCAATTCAGTTCTACCAGTAGATCCTTCTGTATAGCCTTGCTGGTGGTTCTTGTGAATCACACTGCTTCTGAAGAGCTGGTTTTCTTCTTCCTGGTACCCTGGCTAGCCCTTGGTACATCTAAATTTAAAGATTAGTTAACTGCATTAGAACAGATTCTTAATTTTATCTACCTTTTTAAGTAAGTAAAAGTGCTTCATTTCAGGTATTTTATCAAAAAAAACTTTTTTGAGACATGGTCTTGCTAAGTTACCCAGCTGGCTTTGAACTCTTTTTTATTTATTTATTTATTTATTTATTTATTTTTTGGTTTTTCTCCGGTACCAGGAACCGAACTCACGACCTTGCACTTGCCAGGCAGGCGCTTTTGCCGCTGAGCTAAATCCCCAGCCCCCTGGCTTTGAACTCTTGATCCTCCCACCTCAGTTTCCTGAATAGCTGGGATTATAGGCATGCACCACTGCACCTGCTGACTTTAATTTTTTTACATACTGATTTGCCATTTGAAATCCCAAGTACATAGTATATATGTGTGAAAGAAAGAGATAGAGACAGAAAAGGAAAGAAATGTGTATGTGTGTGTGTGTGTGTGTGCGCGCGCACGTGTGCGCATGCACACATTTGCATGCACAGGCATATCCTTACTTGGCCACTGACAGTGTCCTCCCTATACTCCCAAATGGAATGTTATAAAATTAAGATTTCTGAATGATGTTACCTGATGCTTATAGTGGTGACTTTGAGATATGTCTTTGCCTATTGATAAATCAAAGAAAGTTAAAATTACCTTCAGTTTTTTTATATTGTCTGTTTTAATGAACATTTTCTGAAAATGAAATCAGTACAAAAATGTACATTTTTTGAAAATGCAGTGTGGGCTATGTTTGATGACATGTTATTAATAAGAATCTTTGACTCACTAAAATATTCCCTTGTGCTGGATCAGTTTCTTGTCTAATGAAGGCTGAGACTTGCTAGAAGCCATAATCTATAGGATACAGCACTGAAGCACTTAGCTGTGGACTTGAAGATTATGATAGTTGTAACATATAACTCACAGAACAATAGGACATCAAATTCTGTGTGTAACTTATGACTTTGTTATTAACGGTTATAACGTTTTTCCTAAGGTTGATTTCCTTAATTGTATTTACTTTTTCTTTAATGTAGTCCAGCAAAATTAAAAAAGGAAGCAAAGGAGACTGTACTGTACTGAAACCTACACTAATGGCTGCTGTCCCAGTGAGTATAGAATATGAGTATGAATATGAATATGGATAGAAGAGGGTTGCTTATACAGTTTCTTACTTGGACTTTGACTTTTTAAAAAGTAATACTCTTAGGCATATGTGTGCATTTTAAAGTAATTTTAAATGGAATCATGGCAAATGTGTTGTTTAAAATCTTAGGTATGTTGGGAAGGATGAAATGGCAAGCTTCAGAAATACATTTTTATAAGTGTTTGGTGATACTCAAAAATTAGGCGATTAAAAGGACTTCATTCAAATTATCTAGTGTGAGACTTGATCATAATATTTAAGCGTAGAGTATATTCCAAAGATCATCTTCTTTAATCTCTTAATTTAAAAAAAAATCAGGTAACCCTGTCCTCTTAGAGAGCTAAGGCATCATTTCCAAGGCTATGAAGCCAGTTAGTGACAGAGTGGAGTCTGGGATACAAGGCCCCGTGACCTTCTTATCATACCTGAAGAAAACTGTCCTTTTGAGAGAGCTTCCAAAGTAAACAAAGTTTAACTTTTCATATTCAAAGTGCTTATGTGAACTGCCATCTCCCCAAAGCAAGATTGAGGCCATGGAATGTAGCTCAGTGGTTGAGAACTTGCCTGGCATGTGCAAGGCTCTGTGTTAAATTCCCAGTAGCGCACACAGAAAAAGATACTATATTTATAGCCTTGTAATGATGAATTTTGAAACGTTTAACTGCAGTGTTTCAAATTTGTATAATCAGATATGTTCTAGTACTGTTATACTTTGGAAACCTCAGAGAGTGTGTATTTTCTACTGTTAGTCTTATGATTAGACTTTAAAATCTTAAGTCCACTATCTTCCACAGTATTACTTCTGTACATGGGTGTTTGGAGATTAGACAGTATTATGTTCAGTCCCAGTTTTTTAAAGCATTCCAGATGGAAGCTTATATATATATATTTTTTTTTTCTTCTAAATACAAAATTACCAAATAACCAAAGAATTAGAATAGGTCAGAGAGGTCTACTTTTTTATTTAGAAGAACCATAGAATTTAGCAAGTTTTCAAACTGAACAGAGAGGCTTCTGAGTAAACCAGTCATGAAATGATGCCAAAAATAGCTAGTATAGTGCTAAGTATGTTCCAGGCTAGTAGCTATGAACACTCTATTGTGTTGGCCCTATTATTCTGAATTCTTCCTGTACAGAAGGGAAGTTAGCCAAAGTCACATAGTTTGTGGGTTGTAGAATCGGAGTTTAAACTCTCCCAATCTAGTATGAAAGTCTTCTTAACCACTCTTACTATCTATTTAGGACTGTTTTATGTTTAATTTTGGGAAAGAATATATTGGTTTTATTACCCAAAGTACAGGACTCTGTAGTAAACCTCATCAGAGAATGTAGGGAGCAGGAGGGACGAAGATGTTAAGAACATGGTCTTTGATTTTAGGCCTAAAGAATAAGCAGGAGTTAGCAGATAGGCTATTTTTCCTCTAATTGCCCCATTATACATTCTTCACTGATTTACTTTATGTCTTGGGAAGCTAATTTCTATAGATGAAATATAAGAGATTCCTTGCCTTGTAATTTCTGGTTGATTTCAGCCAGTTGGAGCCACTCATGAAAGGTTAAAGAGTAGAAAGATAAAGGTCTGCATATTTATTACCTCCCTTCTTTCCCTATTGAGCTGTGAGTTTAACAGTTGTCAGTCACCCATTGGATAGGCTCTTTCCTATTAGCTCTAACTAGGTTTTTACCATGGCCACAGTCTTTATCCAGGTCCCAGTGATGCTTTCTTCCTTTTACTTCTTCATTGCAAATGGTCTGCTAGTCCATGCTTCACCAAATCTTTTTGGTTCATTTAGTTCCTCCTACTTCTCTACAAATGGACTGGTTTCTTTTCCTTATGTTTTTCTTAATCAGTATATGTGTGCAGTACATAATGTTTACATTTTTTGTGCAGAGTAGTTGGTACATGTACATAACACATCTTGACTGCTTTTTTCATCTTCTTCCCCTCCCCTCCTTCCCCCACCTCACTCTTTAAAATAAATAATTTCTTTATTTGGAATTGTTTATGATAGATTCTGTTTTCTGAGTTCTTTTCTGGGTGAGAATAAAAAATCAAGTTAGTACTATTAATACTGACAATGTGAGAATTCAGAATAAATCACTACTTATAAGCAGTGACTCAGTTGAACATCATGTAATGCTAGCTTGAAGGAGAGGATGATTTGATAAGCTGACAGTAAATCCTGTGAACTTGTTGCAATTTTATTATATTCCTTCCTCACTGAGGTCTTTCTGTGCCTGTGTTTAATATCTAATGTTGGAAAAAGCAGGGCAAGTGGTTCTCATTTGTCTGCCTCATTCCCATATATCTGTTCCTGTGTGTGTTTTAGGGCCCATATGCTTTTTAAGAGGGGTGGTTATAGGATGTTAGAGTCCCGCTGGAAAAATATTGGAATTTCTCAGTTGTGAATCAAAAGAAATATTTCAGTCATATAATTGTGATTCCTTTTGTGGAACTGAAAATACTTACACTCTTTTGAATGCTGTGGTAGCTTTTTTAAAGTTTGGTTCTGCTGACTTCATTTGTGAATGGCTCTATTCTAATGTTGAAAGAACCATCCATAAGGTTATTCATTATAGCACAACCTTATTTACACTGATGATTGGCTCTTTAAATATTTAGAACTAGGCATTTACAAACAGGTTTGGTTTATGTGAAAATTCTTATTAATCTGTATTGAGTAATTTCAGTAAAGCATCATTTAGTGATTAGACTGTTTGCTTTTGTGTTGTATTAGTCTGAAAGTTAATATGTTCCAAACCTCATCTGATCTCTGTGTTTCCAAGTAGCTGTGAGCAAGAATTTTGCTCTTTCTTGTTGTCTTTGTTCCCATTAAAAGAGAATAGAAATGTCTAAATTGTGCGGACATAGATTTTTAAGTAATCATAATACTCTCTGCCATGTGTAAGACAGTCACAAGGTCATATTAATAATAAAGAGAAAATTATCAGTACTAGATTAAATGATTCAACATAGTTGGGGAATTTCATACTGTCTGAGAATAGATGACTTTACTTGAAAGAAGAGAATTTTCAAGAAAAATTTTTTCTGTGAGATCTGAATAAATTTTGTACACTGGTTCGCATTTCTTAAAAATTTAGATGAACTTAGTATGTGGAACTAAAGAAACCCCTCTACTTGTACTACTTGCACTTAGTTTTTTAAAATACTGTTTTACTTTTGATAGACAAATAATTATATTTATGGGATACAAAATGTGTTGTTTTAATATATGTATTATCCTTAGTCGTCTTGGAGTAATGAACAAGTAAAGTCAGTAAAGTTAATTCTGTAGTGAAAGAAACGAGTATGTCTATTAGCCTAGAGACATCTACTTAATATGTTGTAAATAATTATTTCCAGTTAAAGACTTTCTCAGGGTTGATACAGTTCTTTTAGGATTATTGAATATTTTGTTTACTTTTTAGGAAATCATGGATAGAATTTATAAGAATGTTATGACCAAAGTTCAAGAAATGAATTATATTCAGAAAACTCTGTTTAAGATAGGGTATGATTACAAATTGGAACAGATCAAAAAAGGATATGATGCACCTCTTTGCAATCTGTAAGTACATCTTATAGACCCTGTGGTTTGAGGCTTTTATTATTTATTTATTTTTCAAACAAAGGTTTACTGTGTTGTCCAGGCTGGCATAGAATTCCTAGGCTGAAGCGATTTTCCTGCCTCAGCCTCCCAGTACAGCTGAGACTATGGATACATACCACTATTCCTGTAATTTTTTGTTTTTGTAAATCTGGAAAATAAGTAAATGACAAGTTAAATTTAGTTTGAATATTGCCACCATGATCATAACACTGAATTTCTTTTTTTTCTAAGTTTCATTGTTTGTACAGCATGCAGAGGACCTTGAAATCTGTACGAATTTTAATCATCAAATATATACAGTTTAATTATAAATGTGGTCTCATGAAGATAAACTAGAATAAAGTTTTAAATCAAGATGAACTTTAAAATTATCAGATCTAACTAAAAAAGTGATCATCAAGATTTATTCTGCATAAAAATTCCCAATTTATTGTATTCATAAAGTAGCATAGTAAATATATGAATATAACACTTATTTTAAATGTGGTCCGGGGGTATGGGTAGGAATGAGAAAATATTATTCATTAGAAGGAAGAAGATAAAATAGGTGACTAAATGTTCCAGAGATAACTGAAGCTTTTTACTTTGAGATCATCATTTACTTTCATTTACTATGTGTCAGAGCAGTTTCCCAGTACCACATTTTTTTGTTTTGTTTTTAGTTTTTCTGGTATTTTTTCCAGGTGTTACTAGCTGCGACTTCGTTAATATCTCATCACCATCATGATTCTAAAATTTACTTGTTCTAACAAAGTTGAAAAATCTTTCCCATAGTTTATAAGTTAGTGTGTCATCAAAAATAATATATGCATATATTAAATCACATATTCCTCTTTTCATCAAGGTTTCTGTTTAAAAAAGTCAAGGCTCTGCTGGGAGGGAATGTCCGTATGATGCTGTCTGGTGGGGCACCGCTGTCTCCTCAGACACACCGGTTCATGAATGTCTGCTTCTGCTGTCCCATTGGCCAGGGCTATGGACTGACAGAATCATGTGGTGCTGGGACAGTTACTGAAGGTAAGCATGGGGAATGTGGCACATAGTTTTGTTTAAGCTAATCCATTTCCATTACCTTTGGAAGCCATGATTTCTCTTTCTCTCCCCTCTCCCATTTTCTTTTCGCAGTACTAGGGATTGAGCTCAGGAGCACTGAGCTACATCTCCAGCCCTTTTTAATTTAATTTTTATTTTTATTGAGACAGTCTCAGTAAAGTGGTTGAGGCTAGTCTCAAACTAGCAATCCTGCCTCATCCTTGAAAGTAGTTGAAATTGCAGGCATGTGCTCCCACACCCAGCTTGAAAATCACGATTTCTTTATAATACCTCTTAAGTAATACCAAATTCAATGCACACCTACATAGTTTTATGAATGCTTAAGAGCATCATGTATACCTTTTTAAAAAATTTTATTTTAAAGAAAAAGATACAAAAAACAAGAAACCTCCCAAAATTCCAAAACAATATGATAAAAGGGTAACAGTTGTTAATACATTGCATATTGTCATCTTTAAATTAGTTACTCAGAGTACGAGATATCAGCATTTGATTGTGCAAATAGTATTAGCACAGACCTATTTTTTCAATGACTGAGAGAAATTAGTAGCATAACTATGTTAACTATCTTTGATACATATATACTTTTTCCCTTTTCTTCTCCTTCTTTTCTTCTCCTTCTTTTCTTCTCCTTCTTCCTTCTTTTTTCCTATTACACAAAACCACTTTCTCTTTCCTTTTAAAGTTTATTCCCAGGCTGGGGATATAACTCAGCATCATAACTGCCTGCCTGGCAAGTGCAAGGTCATGAGTTCAATTCCTGGTACTTAAAAAAAAAGTTTCGGGGGCTGGGGATTTAGCTCAGCGGCAAAAGCGCCTGCCTGGCAAGCGCAAGGTCGTGAGTTCGGTTTCCGGTACCGGAGAAAAACAAACCAAAAAAAAAAAAAAAAAAAGTTTCTTCCCATTTTACAACATTTATCATACATTTTGGATCACATTTACTTTCAGCTTCTCACACTAGGGATACAATACAATATTTATACATTTGCATTTTGTTTATTTCATTTATGAGTATGGACTCAACTTGCATCCATTTACCTATAAAAGTCTTCAGTTTATCCTTCTTTATGACTGAATAATACTCCATTATATAAAAAGACCACATCTTTTTTATCCATTCCTTGGTTGATGGACATTTGGGTTGTTTCCAAGATCTAGCTATTACAAATTGTGCTGATATAAACATGGGTGCACATATATCACTGTGGTATGATGTTTTTAGTTCTTCGGGGAAGATACCCAGAAGGGGAATAGCTGGGTCAAATGGGAACTCCAATCCTAGTGTTTTGAGGAATCTCCACACTGATTTCCATAGCGCTTATACCAGTCTACACTCACACCAACAGTGGCGAAGGATTTCTTTTTCCCTATAGCCCCTCCATTATTTGTTATTGGCTGATTTCTTGATAATAGCCATTCTTTCTAGGGTGAGATGGAATCTCAGTGTTTTAATTTGCATCTCTTGATTGACCAGTAATGTTAAACATTTTTTCATATATTTATTTGCTGTTTCTATTTCTTTATCGGAAAAGTGTGCATGGATCTCTGATGCCCATTTTTGGATTGGGTATTTAAATTTGGGGGGTCTGATTTTTTCTGAGTTCTTTGTATGTGCTTGGTAGTAAACCTTTGTCTGAGGAACATCTGGCAAACACTTTTTCCCACACTGTGAGTTATCTCTTCACTCTGATGATTGTTTCTCTTAACTGTGCAAAAGCTTGTTAATAGGATGTGATCCCAGTTTTTGATTCTTTGTGATAGTTCTTGTGGGATCAGGGTTTTATTCATAAAGTCTTTGCCTATACCGATTTCTTAGAGAGTTTTTTATTTTTCTCCGGTACCGGGAACTGAACTCACGACCTTGCGCTTGCCAGGCAGGCGCTTTTGCCGCTGAGCTAAATCCCCAGCCCCTAGAGAGTTTTATCTTTCTGTCTTCCAGCAGATTTAATGTTTCTGTTTTAATATTTAGATCTTTGGTCCCTTTCAAATTTAGTTTAGTGCATGGTAAAAAATACGGGTCCAGTTTTAATGTTCGACATGTACAGAGCCAGTTTTTCCAACACCATTTGGTTTTTTTTTTTGGCTTTTTCTCCGGTACCGGGAACTGAACTCACGACCTTGCGCTTGCTAGGCAGGCACTTTTGCCGCTGAGGTAAATCCCCAGCCCCAAAACAGTGGTTAGATACCACGAAGTAGGTGGCAATGCCTTAACCGTATGCGTGTTGTCAGGCCCAAGGGCCTCTTCCATCCTTGTCAAGGGGAGTGCTAACCTTCTCTCCTTTCATACAACACCCAACACCATTTGTTAAAGAGGCTATCTTTCTTCCAGTATATGTGTTTGGACCTTTTGTCAAATGTAGGTGGCTAAATATGTCTGGAGTTATTTCTGTATCTTCTAGTCTGTTCCATTGATCTTCAGGTCTGTTTTTTTTTTTTTTTGCCAGTACCACACTGTTTTTATCACAGTAGCCTAATAGTATAATTTCAGGTCAGGGATTGTGATCCTTCCCTGCCTTGCCTTTGTTGCCCAGCATTGACTTTGTTATTCTAGGTCTCTTCTGGTTGCAAATGAATTTTAGGATTGTTTTCTCTAATTCTGTGAGATATGCTGTTAAATTTTGATTGGAATTGCATTAAATCTGTATAACAGTTTTGGAAGTATGGACATTTTCACTATATTGGTTCTTTGTACCCACAAGCAAGGGATATCTTTCCATTCTGTGATATCAGCTTCAATCTCCTTTTTCAATGTACTGCAGTTTTCAATGTAGAGGTCTTTTACATCCTTTGTTAGACTGATTCCTAGGTATTTCATTTTTTTTGGTGCTATTGTAAAACGTGTTATTTCCCTAATTACTCTCTCAGTGAGTTTATATTTGTGTATAGGAAGGCTATTGATTTTTGAGTGTTGCCTTTGTATCTAGCTCTACACTATGTAATTTGCCTATTAAATCTAGAAGTTTTTTAGTGGAGTTTTGGGGGTTGTCTATGTTAGAGTATCATGTCATCTGCAAATAGTGATAATTTCACTTCTTCCTCTCCTGTCTTTATTCCTTTTATTTCTTACTCTTGTCCAGTTGCTCTGGCTAAAGTTTCCAGGACTGTGTTGAATAAAAGTGGAGACAGTTCCTGATTTTAGAGTGAAAGCTTTCATTTTTTGTCTTGTTCCTGATTTTAGAGTGAAAGCTTTCATTTTTTGTCCATTTAGTATGATGTTGGCTGTTGGTGTGTCATAGGTGGCTTTTATTAGATTGAGATAAAGCTATCTATTCTGGTTTTTCTGTAGGGTTTTTATCATGAATTGGTGCTGGACTTTGTCAAAAGCTTTTCCTGCATCTATTGAGATAATCATATGATTTTATCATTGCATTAATTAATATGCTGTATTACATTTATTACTTTGCATATGTTGAACTATCTCTGCATCCCTAGTATGAATCTCACTTGGTCATTATGTATAATCATCTTGATGATTTGCTTCATTCTGTTTGCCAGTATCTAATTGAGGATTTTTACGTCTATGTTGATTAGAGAGATTGGTCCTTAGTTCTCTTTCTTGGTTAAGTCCTTCTGTAATTTTGGTTTGAGGGTAATGTTTGTTTCCAGGAATGAATTTGGGAGTATTGCTTCCCTTTCAATTGCATTAAAGAGTTCGAGCAGTATTGGTGTTTAATCTTCTCTAAATTTCTTGTAGAATTCAGCAGTGAATCCTTTAGGGTCTGGACTTTTCTTTGTTGGTAAGTTTTTAGTTAATTCTTCAATTTTGTCAATTGATATTGTTATATTTAAGATTTTTATATCTTCTTGATTGAACTCTGTTAATTCATATGTATCTAGGAATCTGTCTATTTCTTCTGGATTTTCCATCTTATTAGAATACAAGCTTTCAAAGTAGGTATAGATGATCTGGATTTCTGCAGGATCCATTGTGACTTCACCCTTTTCATATCTAATTGTGTATATTTGAGTCTTTCCTTTTTTGGTAAGATTGGCTAAGGGTTTGTCAGTTTAATTTAATCTATCAAAGAACCAACTCTTTGATTCATTGACTTTTTTTGACATTTTTTTTAACCTCCAATACATTAATTTCTGCTCTGATCTTTATAATTTCTTCCCTTGTATGAGCTTTTGGCTTCATCTGTTCTTTTTCTAAAGGTTTGAGTTTCAAAATTAAGTTGTTTATTTGAGCTTGATCTATTTTCCTGATATGGGTATTCACTGCTATAAATTTCCCTTTTAATACTGCTTTCATTGTGTCCCATAGGTTCCATTATGTTGTGTTGCCATTGTCATTTAATTGTAGAAGCTGTCTGATTTCTTCTTTAATTTCATCTGTGACCCATTGGTTTAAGAGGGTGCTATTTAATTTCCATATGTTTATAAAATTCTGGTTTCTTTTGCCATTGATTTCCGATTTCATTGTACTATGATCTAATAATATACATGGGATAATTTCAATTCTTTTGCATTTAATTAAGCATATTCTATGGGTTAGTATGTGGTCTATTTTGGAAAACATGCCATGTTCAGCTGAGAAGAATGTATATTCTGATGTAGTTTGGAACACTCTGTAGACATCTACTAAGTCCATTTGTTGAAAAGTTTGGTTCAGCTGGGCATGGTGGTGCATGCCTGTAATCCCAGCACTCAGGAGGCTGAGGCAGGAGGATCCTTGTAAGTTCAAGACCAGCCTGGGTTACAAAATGAGCTCAAGTCCAGCCTGAACTGCAAAGTGAGACACTGTTTCAGAAAGACGAAATAAAAAAGTTTGGTTCAGTTCTGTTATTTCATTTTTTATTTTTCTGTCTAGTTCATCTGTCTATTTGTGACTATGGGGTATTGAAATCCCCGAGTACAATTGTATAGTGCTTATGTGATTTGTGATGCCCATTAATATTTGTTTTATGTAGCTGGGTGCACTGGAATTTGTTGCATATATATTTGTGATTGTTATCCCTTTCTCATGGATTGTTCCCTTTAAAAGGATATAGTGACCTTCTTTATCTCTCTTAATCAGTTTTGTCTTCAAATTCACTTTATCAGCAAATAGAATAGCTGCCCCTGCTTTTTTTTTGTTGCATGGAATATTGTTTTCTATCCTTTGACTTTTAGTCTGTGAATTCCTTTTTGAATTAAATGGGTTTCTTGTATGCAGCATATTTTTGGATCATATTTCTTGATCCATTCTGCCAGTCTGTGTCTTTTGATTGGTGAATTGAGGCCATTGACATTGATGGTTACAACTGATATGTGACTTATCATTACATGTTATTTTCCAGTGGTTGGCTCCCCCTCTTCTTTGTTCCTCCCTCTCCCTCTGTTTACTTTGTTTGCCTCACGTGATTAATTCCTCTTGTTGGTGTTTACAGGGTTGTAGTCCTTGTTTTCTCTTTCTCGAATTCCCCTCAAAGACTGTTAGAGTGCTGGTGTGATGGTCATAAATTTCCTCAGCTGCTCTTTGTTATGGAAGTATCTTATTTCTCCATTGGTTTTGAAAGATAATTTTGTAGGGTACATCATTCTGAATTAAAGTTTGTTTTCCTTTAGAGCTTGAAATACTTCATTCCAAGCTCTCCTTGACTTGAGGATTTGTGCTAAGATTCTCATGGGCTTTCCTTTATAGGTGATTTGTTTCTTTTCCCGAACAGCTCTTAATTTTCTATTCCTGTGTTGAATTTCTGGAATCTTGACTATGATTTGCCTGACTTTAGATTTTTTTTATCATGGCCATTAGGATTTCTATATGCCTCACTTATAGTATGTCAAATTCTTTCTCTCTCCTGGCAAGTTTTCTGCCATGATATTTGTGAACAGTTTTTATGTCATTTGTATTATTTCCTGCCTTTTCATTGATTCCAACTAATCTTAAGTTATTCTTTTTTGCATCATCTAGCAGCTGGTGTATTGATTTCTCATGGTCTCTTGCTATTTTTAAGAAATCTTTCTGTGTTTGCTAGCTGCAAGCCTGTATTCTATATCTGAGATCTTGTCCTCACATTGACTTAATCTGCTACAATTACTTTCTGTTGGTTTTTGTTTTTGTTTTTATTTTTTTCCAGTACCAGGAATTGAACTCACAACCTTGCGCTTGCCAGGCAGGCGCTGTGACGTGAGCTAAATCCCCAGCCCCTACAATTACTTTCAATAGGATTTTTATTCTGCTGGATATTTTCTTGTATCTGCCTTATAGATTCCATTTCTTTCCTATGCTGATCATTCATGGCTTCCGTAATTTTCTTAAGTTTGTCTATTTTCTTGTCTCTGTCTGCTCTAGAATTACTAAGCATGGTTTTCATTTTGTATACCATCTCTGCAGTTATCTGAGAAATTATTTCTGATTTGATTTTTAGAGCCTCATTCCATTGCTTTGTTGTTACTTGAGAGAGGCCAGGTGGGTGGTGTTCGTATTGTACCACCTCATTATCCAGTGGGTTTACGTTTGGTGATGTTTGGGGTTCCATCTTGTTTAAGTGTGTCCTCATTTTCTTTTTTTAAAATTTAATTTGTGGGGTGGTGTTTGTAACAGGTCTTGAGAACAATTATGTCACTTTTGGCTATAGTAGTACCAATAACAGTAACATAAAACACAGCCTAGAAAATGACAACTAAAGTAGACATTAATTTGCCACCTTTAACTGTATGAACTAGATTTGTGGTTATATAATAAAATCTAAAAGAAGCCAAAACATTATATGCAGTATGCAAGGCTGTAGTATGTCAATTTTGCCCTCAGGGGTTAAAATTTAAAATGGGTTAGGGAGAAAATAGAGTAGTAGAAGAAGAGGAAGAGATTAGAAGGCTGGAGACAAAGGAGGAATCATGCTAATTTGGGGAAACTGGTGCAGAAGATTGAGGGAGAGGAGGAAGAGATAAAAAGAGGAACTGAATAGAACCACAACCACAGAGAGGCTAGAAACCATGTTGACACACATATAAATACAAGATCAAACAATGGAGAAAAGAAAGAGAAAGGGGAGAAAACAAAACTACAACAATATCAAAGAAATGAGAGAGAGGAAAACCAAAAAAAAAAAAAAAGAAGAAAAAAAGAAGCAATGATAAAAATTCACTTCCAGGTGTGTCTCTGCTGTCACTGGTAAACAACGTATGGAGACAGTGTTCTGATCTGTGTTGATTTATCCCAAAAAGCCAGCAAGTCTGTACCCTCTGGTGCCTAGCAGTAGTCAGTGCACCTTCTGTGGACCTGAGCCAGGCTGGGAGCCGATAGACCGAGTCAGCAGGGGTTAGCAAGCTGACCCCTGAGCTCATTGGATCTCTCTCCAAAGTGGTTCCCCCACCAATCGCTCTCTCTTATGGGATGGCTGAATCCGTTGCATTCACTAGCAGCTAGTGCAGTCCTTCTTGTCTGCGGTTCCTCTCTACTGCTGCATCTCTCCATGGAGGCCTCAGGGTTGCCAGCACTTCCTGTGTGTTTGCAGGTTTGGACCACTTCTCTCACACAGTGTTTCCCGTCTCAGGGAGAGGGTGCTGGCAGCTACATCCTTCATTGAAGTTTCCTAGTCACTCTCTTGGTGGGCTTCAATTCATGCCTCAGTTCCTTCCTGGGTCTGGGGGGACTCACCTCCCTCTTTCTTATATTCCCCACATTGATATATTCCTGTATTTGGATGGCAGCACTCAGAGAGGTTCTTTCTCTGTTGCTTAGAACTCCACCATCTTGCCCCTCCCTCCTAGCTGCAAGTTGTACCTTTTATTTGTAAGTCTTATAAATATGTATGGCACATTATCAGTCCTCAAAATTATATCACCCTGGTCCTTTGGCTTTTCTCTAAATAATGACTTCAGAGAAACGTTCTCTTAGAATGAAGTATCATTTTTATGCCCCTCTTGAGTATACATTCCCGTTGTGACTTCTTTACTTTCCCTTCTGTGATTTTCAGGAAGCATTTCTCCACCTTAACACTTTTTTTTGGAACCAAATAATTCTTTGCTGTGCATTGAAGGATATTTAGCAGTCAGATACTAGTAGTAACTTGCTAACCCCTGCTGTGATAATAAAACATGTCTCCAAACATTGCCACATATCCCCTGGGAGGCAAAATCACCCCAGATTGAGAAATCAGGGTATATGAATTTGTTTTTAATGATCTTGCTATCCCTTTAAACTCATTGTGCCCCAAGTCAATTCCCTTTTTACAGACTGTCTCCCCATTGCCAAATTACTTATTTATGTCAGTAGAATCACCATCCTTAATGTCATTCAGGTTTTTGGCTTTGAAGTCTTCATATGTGTACTTGTTAATATCTTCATCAGATCTTCCCATTCCTTTATTAGGTTTCTCCTTCCTTTCCATGCCAATTTTGTCATCCAGCCTTTCATTACTTAAACTGCTCTGATGCGACAGCTTTCAACATTTGCCTGCCTGTGTTACCTCAGATCTGTCCCGTATCCTTTTATTAGACACATCTGCCTCACCCTGCTTGACAAATGCTATATAAAATCTTTAAAATGCTATATAAAATCACCTTTAAAATACTATATAAAATCTTATATATAAAATCACCTTTAAAATCTTTAAAATGCTATATAAAATCACCTTTACCTAGCTTTCAAGATGTCTTTAATCTGGCACCATTGCACCTGTCTGTCATTATTTGCCACTTATATACATATCTGGCTTTTCTGTCCTAACTAGCCAGTTGTCTCTTCCTTATACAGGGATTTTTGATTTCATTTCTCTGTAGTGGCTTTCCCCTCCTCTTGGAATACCCTTTTTGTAAACTGGTCATAGCCATCCTTTCCCACAGACATCTTAAAGTAGTCTTTCCCAGCAGTTTCATTTTATGTTGATACTTTGAGTCTCTGAGATACTATTGTAATTGCCATTAGTACCGTGCAGTTTTGCATTTAGAAGTTCACCAAATTGTTTCACATGCATTTCTTGCTAGGTAAAGCTACCTAGGTCACTGAGGGATGTGTTTCCATCACGGTATTTAACACAGTGCCAGGTACTTCACAAGGTCCCAAATCCTCACTAACACAGGCTAGGTACTTCACAAAGTCCCAAATCCTTGCTAATGTAATTATTGCTAACAGTAATCACACAATGCAAAGGAATAGTATCATCATCATCATCATGTTTCATAACATGGGCTATCATTCATTGAACACTTGGTTTGTTCTAAGAATTGCTAATCACATATCATCTCATTTAATCCTCATAATATATCCTTATATGAAGGTTTTATTACTATCTTTTTTATTTGAGGAAATACAGACTTAGAGAAGTTAAATGACTTGTCTAAGTTACACAGCCAAGAAATGATAGAGTAGGTATTCTCATCAAAATCTCTGTCATGAAAATCTGAAGAAGACAATGGTGGATCCAGACCCTCTCTTCTAACAATTTTTATACTGGATTATCTAAAAAATAACCTCGCAGAGCAAAAATACACTATTGAAATGGAGTTGGTAGACTGGAAAACGGTTACTTTTTTGTACTTCTTCACTACAGTCTCTTCTTTCAGACTGGCTGTAATTCCAGTGTTTTGGGCATCTGTGTGCACAACTGAAATGTAACAAGCTAATACCTCTTGTTTGTTTTTATCTCATAGTTACTGACTATACTACTGGCAGAGTTGGAGCACCCCTAATTTGCTGTGAAATTAAACTAAAAGACTGGCAGGAAGGTAAGAATTTCATGACAAGCTCTAGTGATTTGAGATTCAAAGAAAATCACTGTGAGCCTCAAGACTTCATTTCTTTAAAATGGTATGTTGTCTGCTGTAGCAAGTTATTCTTTATAGTTGCCCGTGTTTTCTTATTTCTTAATACATTTAAGTTTCTAAGAGGAAAAGAAAAATCTCTAGATTCCATGCCAGGTGCTTCCCAACCTAGGAATACTTGATAGTAAAGTAGAAAAACATTCTTAGTGGGGCTTTCCCTCGGTTTAGAGAAGTTGAGGACCCTTTGAAGCCTAACTTTGTTAATGAGGATTTGGGACTCAGAAAGAAATCCCAAATTTTTAGGGAACAGTGATTAAATACATACATATACTATGCCAACATCTTAGATCTTGACCACAGAAAAGATTTTCATTATTGAGAATCACTTGTCCAGTTCATTGTATAGTTGAAGTTTTTGTGTTCCTGCAGAGGTGAGCCAGTTAGAGGAAACCTGCAGTACAGAGGCTGGTGATAATCTTTTCTGCAAAATACACTGGACACAAAAGTAAAGCAGTCTTTCTATGATAAACATAGCAAAAGACACTAAATGTACATTAATTGCATACAGTAGATTATTAAATAAACAATTAACAATTTAGTCATGCTAGGTAAGCAAAGAGTAATTTAAAACTAAACTTTTTTAAGTACTGAATTTTTAATATTTATTGTTTATAAATAAACATAAAAGGGCTGGGGATTTAGCTCAGTGGCACAGAGCCTGCCTGGCAAGCACAATGTCGTGAGTTTGATTCCCAGTACTGGGGGATATATATATATATATAAATAAACAAAATTTCGGCATCAACTGGATTCTGTTTACAAAGTCTAAACAATAACAAGAGAAATAAATTCCTATAGGAACTACAGTGAAAATATCAATAAAACTCTGCAACAAAACTGATCTTCATAAACATGTCAACTATGCACTAAAAAAGACAAGAAAACAAAACGTATGTGCTATCAGTGTAAGCAATACTTGTGCACAGAACATGCACAAGTTATGTATGAAGACTGCCTTGGCTGTGACAATTAAAGATTATTTCTGTGGTAGACTTTTATTTGTATTTTCACTGTAGTTCACTTATGTTTTTATTTCAATATTATCTTTTAGGTTTTGAAAGTAAGTAAACAGGTGATGTGAAAACATTGATGTCTGTTCTGAGCACTCATTACGTATTTGATATTTTATTGATGTCTCATTTTCCTACTAAGTGCATTTTGTACAATATAGAAAGAAACTCCTGACAAAAGAGGAAGACAAGAGAGGTGACAAGAGGGGCTGGGGATTTAGCTCAGCAGCACAGCGCCTGCTTGGCAAGTACAAGGTTGTGAGTTCGATTCCCGGTACTGGAAAAAAACAAAAA